CAAAGTAAACAGTGTGCCAAAGTAAAAAGTGTTTCAAAGAAAACAGTGTGTCTAAGTAGCAGTGTGCCAAAGTAAACAGTATGTCAAAGAAAGCAGTGTGCCAAAGTAAACAGTGTGTCAAATTAAAACAGTATGTCAAAGAAAGCAGTGTGTCTAAGTAACAGTGTGCCAAAGTAAACAGTGTGCCAAAGTAAACAGTGTGCCAAAGTAAACAGTGTTTCAAAGAAAACAGTGTGTCTAAGTAGCAGTGTGCCAAAGTAAACAGTGTGTCAAATTAAAACAGTGTGCCAAAGTAAACAGTGTGTCAAAGTAAACAGTGTGCCAAAGAAAACAGTGTGTCAAATTAAAACAGTGTATCTAAGTAGCAGTGTGCCAAAGTAAACAGTGTGTCAAATTAAAACAGTGTGCCAAAGTAAACAGTGTGTCAAATTAAAACAGTGTGCCAAAGAAAACAGCGTGTCTAAGTAACAATGTGCCAAATTAAACAGTGTGTCAAATTAAAACAATGTGTCAAAGTAAAAAGTGTGTCAAAGTAAACAGTGTGTCTAAGTAACAGTGTGCCAAAGTAAACAGTGTGCCAAAGTAAACAGTGTGTTAAAGTAAACAGTGTGTCTAAGTAACAGTGTGTCAAAGTAAACAGTGTGTCAAATTAAAACAATGTGTCAAAGTAAAAAGTATGTCAAAGTAAACAGTATCAAAGTAAACAGTGTGTCTAAGTAACAGTGTGCCAAAGTAAACAGTGTGTCAAATTAAAACAATGTGTCAAAGTAAAAAGTGTGTCAAAGTAAACAGTGTGTCTAAGTAACAGTGTGCCAAAGTAAACAGTGTGGCAAAGTAAACATTGTGTCAAAGTAAACAGTGTGTCTAAGTAACAGTGTGCCAAAGTAAACAGTGTGTCAAATTAAAACAATGTGTCAAAGTAAAAAGTGTGTCAAAGTAAAAAGTGTGTCAAAGTAAACATGTGTCTCTAAGTAACAGTGTGCCAAAGTAAACAGTGTGTCAAATTAAAACAATGTGTCAAAGTAAAAAGTGTCAAATTAAAACAATGTGTCAAAGTAAAAAGTGTGTCAAAGTAAAAAGTGTGTCAAAGTATCAAAGGAGGCATTTTGTTAACGTAGCGGAACGTTGAAGAGACATTGTGTAAAAAGTAATAGTGTGTCAAAGGAACAGTGTCCTCAAAGTAAAGAGTGTGTCAAAGTAAACTGTGTGTCAAAGTAAACAGTGTCAAAGTAAAAGTGTAGCACTGTTTACAGTGTGTGAATGAAAACAATGTGTCAAAGAAAACAGCGTGTTGTGTCAAAGTAAAAATTATGTCAAAGTAACTGTGTGTCAAAGAAGCTGGGCGTTTAAAAGACTGAGTGTCTTTAAGAGAAAGAGAATTCACTTGAGACTGTGACAAAAGGGAAAGTGTGTCAAAGTGAACGTGTGTTAAAGTGAAAGTGTGTCAAAGTGAAAATGTGTCAAAGTGAAAATGTGTCAAAGTGAAAGTGTGTCAAAATGAACGTGTGTCAAAGTGACCGGTGTGTTAAAGTGAAAGTGTGTCAAAGTGAAAATATGTCACAGTGACCGTGTGTCAACGTGTGTCTTAGCGGTAATATGACAAAACGGATGCCGCGTTAAAGTAACGGAGCATTCAATGTTTAAAGGACACAGCATTTCAAATTGACACAATGCCTCAAAGAGACAGCTGCGGGACTGCATGTTAATCTGATCCAAACTGAATCCTATTTTCGTTGCTGCAATTTCTCCACCCTTCCCAAAAGATTAATGAAATATTTATAATGATCCCCATTAATGACCCTCCCCCCTCCCATCCCACCCCCCCCCCTTTTTACGTCCCACGCCACCGCCATTGTTGGGCGGCGCGCGTGCAGCAAGTCTATCACGCTTGGCGAGGACAGTCATGGCGCTGTCGAGACAATGAACACGGCAGACGATCCGGAGAATCGCTCCTGCCTCTTATCTACCTACGAGGGGGGGGGGGG